CATGGCAGCGGAGATGAAGGTGACGGGGCAGAGCCAGGAGCAGTTCCTGCTGCTCGCCAAGTCCTCCCGCGGCGCCGCCCTGGCCAGCCTCATCCACCAGGTGCTGGACGCGCCCGGCATCTACGTCTTCGGGGAGCTGCTGGACCTGCCCAACGTGCGGGAGGTGAGCGTCCTCCTCCCGCCCCCGGGGAGCCCGCCGGAGCTTGCACCCCAGGGCTTTGATTGCCCCTTGGGAAAGGGCCCGACGGGCTGGCCCTGCGCAGTGCCTGGGCAGTGTGCCTTCCTGGCCCCGGGTACAGGATCACGGAGGATGGGGGCTGGAAGGGACCTCAGGTCATCTAGCCTAATCCCTGCTCAAAGTCAGATCATCCCAGCCAAGGCTTTGTCTACCCAGTTCTTACAAACCAAGCATTGCAATCCATGGCCCTGGGCATGGGAGGGAGGACCACTGTGCAGTAGCCCCCCTGCTGGATGTTATGTTTATGAACCTTCCTACTTGCTACTGTCTGCTTCAATCGTCTCTCTTGTCATAGTCATAGGATCATAAAAAGTGAGGGTTGGGAGGGCATCTAGTCCAACCCCCTGCTCAAAGCAGGACCATCCCCAGCTAGATCATTTTAGCCATGTCTGGCTGGCTAAAATCATGTCTAGCTGGGTTTTAAAAACCTCCAAGGACGGAGAGTCCACAACCTCTCTGAGTTACCTGTTCCAGTGCTTCACCACCCTCTTTGTGAGAGAGTTCTTTCTACGCTTACCTGTTAGAATCCATACGTCCTAGACCTTAATGCTAGAAGCTGCTAGGGGGGAGTAAACTGGGTATTACCAGGGTGCCTCCTCCCCATCCACTGCAACCTCCAGCATTAAGGTCTAGGAAGTTCTGATTCTAACAGGTAAGCGCAGAAAGAACTCTCTCATAGCTTATAGCTCTCCTTGATGGGCTTTAGCCCATGTCCTAGAAAGGCATATCAAAAGACCTGTGTCACTGAGGAGGGGGGCTTACAGTGTTTCCTTGTGTGGCAGGCCCATTTGTTATGCCATGGGGAAGTGTGGGCTTACACCCACAAGGAAACACTCTAAGCCCCCCTCCTCTGTGACACAGGCCTTTTGATGTGCCATTCTGGAAACATGGGCTAAAGCCCATCAAGGAGAGCTATAAGCCACCCCTTGGTGATGAGGGCCATTAAGAGCATATCGCTGATTACTTGGGACAAATAAAAACAAAACTGGGACAGGAGTGAGGGCTATTGGTTCATAATAAGTCCATCAAGGGAGGACACCAAGCAGAGTACACAGGCCAGTGCCCACTGGCCCTCAAACGAGTCCATGGAGCCAGTAGAACTCTGCCTGGAGACATGAATATCCATGCAGGGATGAAATCAGGAAGGCCAAAATACAATTGGAGTTGCAGCTAGCAAGGGACATGAAGGGTAACAAGAAGGGTTTCTACAAGTATGTCAGTAGCAAGAGGAGGGTCAGGGGAAGTGTGAGTCCCTTACTGAATGCGGGAGGCAACCTGGTGACGGAGGATGCAGAAAAGGCTGAAGTGCTCATTGCCTTTTTTGCCTCAGTCTTCACAGGCAAGGTCAGCTCCCAGACTGCTGCTCTAGGCAGCACAGTTTGGGGAGGAGGTGAGCAGACAACAGTGGTGAAAGAACAGGTTAGGGACTGCTTAGAAAAGCTGGACGTGTACAAGTCCATGGGGCCAGATGGGATGTACCTGAGGGTGCTGAGGGAGTTGGCTGGTGGAATTGGACATCATCTTTGAAAACTCATGGCGATCAGGACAGGTCCCGGATGATTGGAAAAGGGCAAACATAGTGCCCATATTTAAGAAAAGGGAAAAAGGAGGATCCAGGGAACTACAGACCAGTCAGCCTCACCTCAGTCCCTGGAAAAATCATGGAACAGATCCTCAAGAAATCCATTTCTAAGCACTCAGAGGAAAAGAAGGTGATTATTAGGAACAGGCAGCATGGATTCACCAAGTCATGCCTAACCAACCTGATTGCCTTCTATGACAAGGTGACTGGTTCTGTGGATGCAGGGACACCGGCAGATGTGGTGTACCTTGATTTTAGCAAGACTTTTGATACGGTCTCCCACAGCATTCTCACAGGCAAGCTAAGGAAGTATGGGCTGGATGAATGGACTGTAAGGTGGATAGAAAACTGGCGAGAGCATTGGGCTCAGATAGTATCTAATCAATGGCTCTATGTTTAGTTGGAACCTGGTATCAGGTAGTGTGCCCCAGGGGTTGGTCCTAGGGCCGGTTTTGTTCAATGTCTTCGTCAACGACCTGGAAGATAGCACAGAGTGTACCCTCAGCAAGTTTGCAGATAACACCAAGCTGGGGGGAGTAGTAGATATATTGGAGTATAGGGCTTGGATTCAGAGTGACGTACACACTAATTGTAGGATTGAGTCAAATGAAATCTCATGAGGTTCAACAAGGACAAGTGCAAAGTCCTGCACTTAGGACGGAACAATCCCATGCACCAGTACAGGCTGGGGGCTGGCTGGCTGGGCAGCAGCTCTGCAGAAAAAGACCTGAGGGGTCACAGTGGACAATAAGCTGAATATGAGTCAGCAGTGTGCCCTTGTTGTCAAGGCTAACGGCATACTGGGCTGCATTGGTAGGTGTGTTGCCAGGTAAAGGGAAGTGATCATTCCCCTCTATTCAGCACTGGTGAGGCTACATCTGGAGTACTGTGTTCAGTTTTGCCTCATTTCTTGTAGACTTAGGATCTCACTAGGGAAAGGAAAGTGGCCCCACAGTCCCCAGTGATCTTGCAGCCAGAGCCTCTTTCCTGGTCAGATGGATTGCTACCTTGGCTAGGGCCTGTGTAACAGGCCTGTTTGAAATGCCATGGGGTCATGGGCCTTGGCCCATCGTAAAATATTATAAGTATCCCTGAGGACACATCAACTGAGTATTTGGGACAGCTGAAAAGAAATCAGGAACAAGAGTGAGGTCACAGGTTTAAAAACAAGGGATTTGGAAGGGGACAGTGAGCAGAGCACACCAGCTAGCACCTACTGCCCCCTGAAGGAATCAAGGGAGCCTGTGGATGCTGACCATTGAAACTCTGCCCAGAAACATGAGTGGATGAGTGCTAGGCAAACAGCCCCAAACTGACCTGGCTTCTTCCCAGCCAGAGCCTCGTTCCTGATCCTATAGATCGCTAGTTTGGTTAGGTCTTATGTAACACAAGCCTATTTGATGTGCCAAAAAGAAGCTCATGGGCTTATTGCCCATTACGAAATCTATAAGCCTCCCTAAATAAGGGAGGCCACTGGGAACACATCAACTAGTTGTTTGGAACAATGAAGAAGAAACGAGTGAGGGAGGGAGTGAGGTCATAGGTTAATAACTAGGGCATCGGAAGTGGAGACCGAACCGCACACACCTGCTCAGTGAAGGAGTCGAGGGGGCCTGTGGACCCCGCCCCAGTGAAACTCTGCCCAGAAACATGAGTGGGCAAGCGCCAGGAAAGCAGCTCCACACTCACCTGGGTTCCTCCCAGCCAGAGCCTCCTTCCCAGTCTTATAGATCACTAGCATGGCTAGGGCCTGTGTGACATAGGTGACTGGGCAAGATGAGCTGACACTTCAACATAGTAAATGGCAGTTCTTATGTTGTTATCTGGTGTTTCTTCTTGCTTCTTCTCTGCAGCTCCTCCCCCACCCCCCTTCCTTTATCCATCTCTTACTCACCCAGTCCCTTCCCTTTTCCCAGATCTTGTCCTTTTAACCTCTAAGCCACTTGGCCTGCTTCCATAGACAGAGCCCTGCAGTCTTAGTGGGACTTGCTTATGTCTTTCACCCTTCAGGCTCTGAGCTCTGTGGCTGTTAAGTAGTTACTGTTCTTCCTCCTGTCCTCCTCCTCCTCTCTGCCACACAGTTGCATTTTGTTGGATACAGGAATCCACCATATCTTTAACCTCCAAACCAGTTAGGGTTGAAGCACTTAGGAAACAGCCTGGTTATGTTAGAGGTGTCCCTGCGTGCCGTGCTAATAGAGCTGGGAATTGGGAGTAGGAGTTCGGCTGTAGTGTACAAAATGTCTTGCTGTTTATATCAAGTGCTCCCTTTCCTCACACAGCTGGCTGAGAGTGAGTTCTCCCCCATCTTCCGTCTGCTCACCGTCTTTGCATATGGGACATATGCTGATTACTTGGGTAAATACATTCCTCTCTTACAACACCTTATGCCATGTTTCCGGAAGCGGGTGAGGCATCAGTTTAGTCTCCCAAAGAGCAGAAATGGTTGAGAAATAGCAAGAGGGAAGGAACAGCAAATGACATCAGGAAAAGGTTGCACAGGAAGCATCTGCCTGGGCTGGGTAGGGGTCTATGAAGCCAGGAGATGTCTTGCCAGAGCCCCATCATTCAGAATCTTGGAAAGAAAAACCCTGGCCCAGGGCAGGGAGAGGGGATATGGGACATACTCGGCTCTAATGTCTGGCTTTCTCCCCTGAGAGCAGCTGAAGCGGCCAATCTCCCTCCTTTGACTGAGGCGCAGAAGAACAAGCTGAGACACCTATCAGTTGTTACCCTGGCTGCCAAGATCAAGGTAGTGGCTGTCTTTCTCACCCTGCCCACATTCCCTTTGGAGCTACCTTCCGCTAATTATCATCTCTGTTGCCATAGTGCATCCCCTATTCGGTGCTGCTGGAACAGTTGCAGCTGAAGAACGTGCGGCAGCTGGAGGACCTGGTGATTGAGGCTGTGTACGCAGATGTCCTCCGTGGGAGCCTGGACCAGCGGAATCAGCGCCTTGAGGTTGACTACAGCATCGGGCGGGACATCCGAAGGGAGGAGCTAAGCACCATCACCCGCACATTGCAGGAGTGGTGAGGAGGAAGCCCCCAGGGCCAACCCCACACAGGCTGCAGGAGTGGTGAGGAGGCTCCCCCAAACCCTCTGCCTGCTGTCAGAGGGGGGGAGGAGGTGCACCACCCACCACACAGAAAGAGTGAGCTCCATTCCCAACCCCTGTGTGCTACTGGAGTGATGAGGAGACACTTGAGAAGTGGGAGAGACTCTTCCAAATTCCTCTGTGTGCTGCTGGAGCATGGTGTGGCACTGTGACCCTATTTCCTCACTGTACAGCTCTGTCTGCTCTGGACCCCCTCAGTTCCCATCAGTGACTTCTGCAAAATGAGTGTCACCTCTTTCAGATCCCACACCACCACCACCCCTCCCCATGTCTTTACTGTGGCACTGGTGCTCCAGTCTCCTTTCTGTGTGGCTATATTCACCTCCTCCCAGGGCCAAAGCTCTGAGGCCTCCAGCTATGTCTGGGTGAGAGTTCAGGTCCCACCCATCCATCCTCCCACTTCTCCATTGCCTTTTGGATCTTCTGTGTACTCAGGTTTGTTCTTTCCCTGCAGGTGCCAAGGCTGTGAGGTTGTCCTGTCGGGCATTGAGGAGCAAGTTAGCCGGGCTAACCAGCATAAAGAGCAGCAGCTGGGCCTAAAACAGCAGATAGAGAGTGAGGTGAGTGAGAGGGGCTGGTTATTCCATCACTGTTGACCTAGGAGTGGGTTGGAACCAGCGCTCTGCATTTACATGACCTTATCTGAATCAGGCAGTGACACTTCCCCTCTGCCATGTTAGGACCTTCTGTCTGGGGAGAGTCAGGACAGCTGGGCACTACTTTACAGACCCTCAGAAGTTCTGTATTATAAAGATTTCCTCCCTCTTCAGGTTTCAAATGTTGGCTAGTATTAGACTTCAGTTTAACGGACTTTTTCATTGGGACTTGTCTTGTGTTCTCGCTTTCCCATCCTGGTAGGTGGCAAATTTGAAGAAGACCATTAAAGTCACAACAGCAGCAGCTGCAGCAGCAACATCCCAGGACCCAGAGCAGCATTTAACAGAGCTCAGGGAGCCAGCTCCTGGCACCAACCAGCGCCAGGCCAGCAAAAAAACTTCTAAGGCCAAAGGGTAAGGAGCTGTAGCAGCTTGGAGTGGCCCTTCCCCCTGTGTATCCAGGGGACAAATCTGTGGGACCTTTGTTTCAGGCACGAACGCAGGCATAACAAGGCAGCATTAGCTTCTGCACTGCCAGTGGTGGCAGCAGCATAGCCATCTGCCAGCTACACCAGTAGCTGTTTTTGCCTCCTCATCTTTCAAGATTGCTGCCCTGGTCTCCCCACTCTCAGTTATGCTACTGAATGAGGGTGCATCCCATTCTCCTATATACACATGTGACAGCAAGCTTAGCTCCACCTCAGCTCTGTTTGTCCTCCACTAATGGGGGTGAATTGCAAGGGTCCTCAATTTGAAGCAGCAACAGTCTGTTAACCCTGTTTGTGGCCGCACATTTCTATAGCTGCAGGTGGCAGCCACTTTTGTTTATGTGCATTTGGGGAGGAGCCTGTGTGGCCCTTGCTCCTGTCAGAGCCTTTGTTTCTCTCTCTCTCTTTTTTTTTTTTTTTTTTTTATGCAGACTCCGGGGCAGTGCGAAGATCTGGTCTAAATCAAACTAGCTGGATCCCTGGGAGGGTGAGAAGGAGAGATTGGGTGCGGGGAGAAAAAGCAGGTGTCCAGTGTATGACACTTGTGATCTCATCCCCTGTATCTGTATGTCCGTTTGGTTCTCCTGCATGTTTGATCTTTCCCATCTGCTGTGCACTTTCCCCTGTCTTATCCATCACCTGTACCAATATCTGCTAGCCTTCTACAGCTATCTCTTGTCCTCTAAACTTGTCTGTCTCATGTGTCATCATGCTCCCCACTCCCCCCCATTTTGCTCTCTCTCTCTCTCTCTCTCCCACCCACCCATTTTGCTCTCTCTCTCTCTCTCTCTCCCCTTCACCCCCCATCACTTGACAGGTAAATTTAAAGAACCATAGCACTAACTCCATTTCAGTCACCTTTACGCCAACAGAATATCATGGAAGCCTGGAAGGAACCTGCCCTTGCACTCAGCAGCCATTTTGGTTCTGTGGGATCCTTGGACAATTTGCTCCAGACTGCCATCTTGATTGTTTGATCTTTGTTTTGCTGGGTTGGGGTGGATTTTGTGGGGATTGTTTTAAAATAAAAATATATATAAATTATAAATAAATAAATATATATATAAACAATAAAGATAGATCTATGAACACTCCCATCTGTGATGGTGTTTCAGTATGTGGGCAGGAAGTTTCATGCAGATCTTTGAAATCTGACATAACTATGGTATCAGGGATTCCCTGCCCCTCACCTTTTGGTGGAGATGGAATGAGAGGTCCAGCTGGTATGCTGTCATTTCCAATTCAAGAGAGAGATTGTTGCATAGCCTGGGGTGAGGGATCAGAGAGGTACTTACCTCTCTCTTTCTGTGTCCTAACAGGAGAGAGGTTCTAATTTGTGATTCATTCAAGACTGTAGAATGACCAGAGCTCTTGTTTCTGAATATGCAGTTGAGACTGGAGACCAGAACACCTTCTTTCAGGGATTCAACAGACTAACTTTATAAATTAGAAAAGGAAGAGTTAATAATCCATGGGGGGTGGTTAAGTTGCAACTATTTAATTGACCTCCTGCATAACATAGGTTGTAGGATTTCAGCAAGAGGTTTCTGCATTTAATCCATAATTTACAGATGAGCCGCAGTGTATCAGCTGTCAAAAAAAATAGTTATTGCAGATTTAGTGCTAATTGATGCCATATGCCATTCCTGGACTCTGAGAGTTAGGTAATAAAGCCTTTCAGAAGCTGGCAGTAGCCACTATGACTGATTCAATATGGGAGACGAGGGATATAATGAAGATAAACTATTAAAAGAAGTACCATTGTTCATGCTGAATTCCACAGGTCTGAAATCTGGCATTTGTCAGCATATATCCAGTCGATGTATGCTCCAACTCCATTCCCTGTGTAGGTACTAGTTGAAGCAATGTGGCAGAGAAGGTAATGAGGAAGTTGGAATGAGAAAAGGGTTGTGGGACAGCTTTCTCTTTCTGCCGGTATTCACTCTTGGCTATGGTAAAGTATACATCTTTATTGAGAGGCTGACATATGCCTAGAGAATGATCTTTACTCAGGTGATGAACCAAAATTGAGAAAAATCCATCTTAGTTTAAATCCCCCCCGAAAGTAGAAGCCACTGAGAAGGAAGAAAGGGAAATCAGATTGTAAACCATAATGTAGCAACTTATCTTTTTTTATAAGAGAAGCCAAAAAACAAAGGAAATCTATGGTCAGCAGAATTCAGAGAAAGGAGGTTTCCTTTTTCTTTTTTAGGTATGGTGGGAACAAGGAATTCTAACAAAGTCACTCAGAAAAGGAAGGTGCAGTCAGTAAATGTGTGTTTGGTACTGAAGATTGGGGACTGATGATGATGTCTGATTCTCATGATGAAATACCTTCAATAAACATGGATGATAATTAAACAGCAGGCATTAAAGCTAGACATTTTTAAATCACTACATTTGGGTAATTTGCAGTGAGGACTTCTTAAAGAGCTGGCAAGGAGGTCTCTAGACCATTAATCATTATTTTCAATAAGCCTCAGAAGGGGAAGATGGAACAACCAATAGGCCTGTCAGCCTGACATGGATCTCAGACAAAATAAAGGAACAATATATATGAGACTTGACTAATCAAGCAACAAAGGAAATTAAGGCACTGAATGTCAATCAACCTAGGTTTGTAAGATATTGATCTTCTCTGTGTGTTTTTTTCCCCCTGAGATTACATGTTTGACATAAAGGTTACTGTTAATACAATAGATTGATAGAGTATTTGACTTGGTACTGCACAGTATTTTGAGTGAGAACCTAGACGGACATCAATTCAATGTGGCATACAGTGAATGTATTGAACACTGGCTAAATGGATAGATCTTAAACTTCAAATGAGGAATCATTATTAAGCAGGTATATTTCTAGTATTATCTCACAGGGATCCGTTCTTAGCTATATGTTATTCAATATCTACTGCTGAGCGTAGACAGACCTAACAATTCTAGTCCTGTTCCATCCAGTATTATAATGATTTAGCTTGTGTATTGCTAAAGGAGCATGCAGAGGTAACAGTGGATGCATGTTGCCAAGCAGCAGCTTCCCCTCCCCTTTTAAAGTGGTTAAAAAGTATGTTTGCCCATAGCCTTGATCTGTGACTGAGAAGTAAACCTAGATCTACGGGGTGGTCAGCCTCAGCCCATGGACCAGATCCAGCTTGCAGAGCCACTCTGTCTAGCCGGAAGGGTTTCCCACAGATCCAAAACTTGGGCAGGGGGCGGGAGGCGGGAAAGCAGTGGCAGCATTAATTGCTATTTCCCTGCTGTCAGTTTTCCAGGCCTGTGGGGAACCCCATGGGCCAGATAGAGTAATCCTGCATGCTAGATTGAACCTGTTGGGCTGAGTGGACGTAGTGTGGACCCTGTGGGGGTGGCACAGGCCCAATCCAGATGGCATAGGACCCAGTGGAGGTGGCATGGACCTGATCCAGGCAGCACAAGACCAAATGGAGGCAGTGAGGGCCCAGTGCAGGGCTGAGTGGAGGCAATACAGGCCCAATCCAGCCAGTGGACCAGCCCTGTGCTACTCATTTGACCCACAGGACCAAAAGATTGAGCACCACTGACATAAAAACATTTCTTATTAACATTTGCAGACAAAGATTAGGAGATAGACAAATAATCCATTTGTGATTGGTACCACTTGTTTAAATGGGTGAAAATTAACATTTTAATATAGCCAAATATAAACTTGTACATCTAGAAACCAAAAATATGGGCCTTACTTCTGTTTGTTTTTTGAACACCCTCCAGAAATCACTCCAGCACTGCTCTTGTTTCAGATCTTAATCTTGCTCAGTTCTGTGGCGTCTTTTGTTCATATCTCTAGTTCATTTGTGTCTTTCCTCACTATGTCCTTCCATCTCAACCTTGGCCTTCCCATTTTCATTTTTTCCTTTTGCTTCAGTTTTCAATTCCATCACGCCCTGTACTTTCTCCTTCATTATACAGGCTATGCCCTAGTCATCACATTCTAGCTTCCTTGGCTTTCTTAGCAGTGCTCCTCACACAAAGTCATTTCCTATTGTTGTCATTTTCACATCACTCAAAATATTCAATATTCACCTTGGTATTCTTATCTCAGGTTGCTCCAGTGCCCTTTCATCCTTCCTTTTTGTTGTCCAAGCATCTACCCATGTCACCACTGACAGAACTTTGTCTTCAATTTACCCAATATGTTTTTTACAGCACCTAAAACTGTTTTCCATTTATTCCTCCCTGTTTGAACTGCCTTTCTTTCTTCTGCTTCCTAGCTGCCTTCATTATATTATGCAGATCTAAAGTACTTGAACATCCATGCTTTGTTTAGGGCATACCCTTTCTTGTATTTCACTACTATGTCTTCCAACCATCTTGGCAATTTACCATTACTGCTGTTCATCTGGTATTTATTTTTAGGGCAACTTTTTAAAAACGTTTCTGCTAATTCATATACTTTTCCTGCCCTTTCTCTTCTGTCTTTGCTGTTACAATATTTTTGCAGATGATCATGTTATATGCGGGAGGCCTCTGTGTCTCTTTACTCTGCAGATTCATTGTTAACCAGGAGCATGCTCACTGTTGAACCTTGGCTGAACCCTGCCACAATGTCAAACTCTTCTGTCCTTCACCCTGCTGTTCTTGTCTCTGTACATTGCTTCTACAACACTCACAGTCTTTCAAAGCTCCCTAATTTATGCAGGATACATACATTACCTCTCAGTGAACAGAATACCCTCTCCAGGTTGACAAATAAGTAGTTCAGTTTCTTGTTCCCCTCTCTAAATGTTTCTTGCTTTTGTCTCATCTCAAATACTGCACCTGTAATTTCTTTACCCTGTACAAATTCTTTTCTTTATCCATGATCCTTTCACATGCTCGTCAAGCTTTATTCTCTATAGTGTCTACAACTTGGCACACCACCTTTGTACTTATGCACAGCTACTATTATACTTTCCTCCCAATTCCCTTAGGATTCATTCTTCGTATCCAACTTGCTTCAGCAGTTGCCAGATCCACTTGATTCCTTCTTCCCACATCACTTTAACTATCTCTATAGAAATTTCTGATGGATCACACCTTTTACCATATTTCATTTTTTCCACAGCTATTCTACTTCCCTTGTTATCTCTGGTTCTGGTCCCTCAACTTTTTCTGTTAAATCCATTGTTTCTCTTTAATTTTCTACAGTTAGTTCTTCAAGATGGTCTTCTTACTGGTTCTTGGTGTCCTTTCCTTTAGTCAGGATGGTTTCATCTTTATCACCTGTTGATGCTGCATTCCACACATAGTGAGCGCATCTACACATGCTGCTATAGTGATATTGTTACTGCGCCATGATTTAGTACTTCCTTTTGGAAGCAACCAGCCCATGCTGTGCTGTATGCATGGTGCACAGTTATTTTTAGCAGCTACTTCGCCATAGCAGCATGCTATACTGGCAGAGCACGTTGCTATGGTGACAATGCTCCTGGTCACATGTAGATGCCTGTGGATGCTGCGTCACTGTAGCGCAGGGGCGGGCAATTATTTTGGGTGGAGGGCCACTTACTGAGTTTTGGCAAGCCATCGAGGGCCGCATGACAGGCAGCCAGGGGCAGATAGATATTAATTTTCTAAACTTTTTAGGGGCCCCACAGGCCAGGTAGAATGGCCTGGTGGGCCGCATCTGGCCCGTGGGCCGCATTTTGCCCACCCCTGCAAAATGCATTGCTATGGCGACATACTGTCATGTATAAACCTGCCCCCTTTCTCAATGCTTTCTTTTTATATTTTTTTTTCCCTCCTCCTGCTACTTTTAACATGTCATATCATTTTCCCCATTCATTAGCTTTTCAGGCTTCCTTTTAGTAGCTTTATATCTTTCCCAACTGATTTATAATATCTAGTTTTTTGTCATTTTTCATATTACATCCATTCTCCAGCCCTATGATTTGTATAGCTAAGTTCTCTTCACTCTCTTACCTCTCCTCTACATTGCTCAATGTTTTGTCCTTTCAGAGTCCACACTTTAGTTCTTCCATTCCTCCTCTTTGAAAATCTGGTTTGGTGAACATATTGCTGGTCAAGACCTGGGTTTCCTAGATACAGCTTTGCTAAAATCTTATAGATTCATAGATTCATAGATGTT